GAGAACCAGGAGGGATACTCAGGATGATCTTTTGACACATGAAGAGATGGAAACCATGAGAAAGAAAGTGGCTTGCTCAAAGTCACCCTGCATGTTAGAAGTAGAAATAGACTTGGAAACCCATATTTCTGAAACCCAGTATTTTTATATCACCACACTAGTTTCATTTTAATTTGTGTTTTGTTTCATAATCAGCAAACAGGACTTTAGATGCACCCCCAAATACAGGCCAAGAGAGGAATCATAATGTAGTGGGGAAAACACTGGCTTTGCCAAAGTCAGAGACCTTGGGCAAGTCAGTGCATGGTTCTGGGGCTCTCTTTTTTCATCTGTAAAATAAGGATGAACTGGATAGTCTTTAAGATTGTATCGGCTCCTAGCATTTTATGAACCTACTGGACTGTTGGCCCAGCGCCGGTAAAGAAACTTGCAAGTATGGTAGAGCATACATCTCTCACTTCTGCTTCCTCCTCCATGATGTCCTCCTTGGCCTGGGACATACTTCCCCATCCTTGTTCCCTTGCTTGCTTTTTTCAAAACTCTGCCTAAACTTCACTCCACTCAACTCAAAATTGGCAGTGTCTCTTCCCACCCCTGGCTTAATTCTGGCCCCTTCTGTTCACCTGACTCCTCTGACTACCTGGTACTCTGCACTGGAGTCATTGATTTTCTTGTCTCTACCATTAGACTAAGGCATTATGGGCATTGTGATACTTGAGAATGTATCATATCCCAAGTATCTATCATAGTGCCTGGCTCATAGTAGAGAGCTAATACATGCTTGTTACATGGTACTAATGATTTTCATCTGGGAAGCAAGGAAAAGACTATGGTACTAATTTCACCTGAAGCTGTTAATTTTCGTGGAAGTAGGAGAATTGGAACTTTCAAGAATGATTAGAATTTGAAAGGAAGTATAAATTAATGCCAACACTGGTTTAACTAAGAGTGACAGGTGGCTAAAAGGAGTGGGTCTGATTGGTGTTAACTTGATTGAATGGAGGAACATCTGCATTGGAATCATGCAGGGTGAAAATTGCAGATTCCACCTGTTTATTTCACCCACAGCACCACCCCCCCTCACCTTCTGAATCTGTGGATGTGTGTTTACCTTTTGAGCAAGCTCCCTAAGAAGATTCTTTTCACATGAATGGAGAGTCTTGGAATCCTGGAAGGAACATTGACAGTTGTGGGCAATTGAAAGCTATTTTAAGTTTTTAAAGGGCTAGAGTGATGGCATAATGGACACGGAGCTTTAGGAAGGGCGGTCTACAAAATAGGTAGACTGGTAGTCTACAAAATAGGTTTTGTAGACTGGTAGTCTACAAAATAGGTTGGTAGGAGTGAGATCTTAGAGGCAAGAGTGAGTTGCTAGGAGTGCACCAAAGTATTCAGGATGAGAAGAGTGGGGAGTTTGCTCTCTATGGCAGTGTCGGAAATAGGGAATAAGCAGTGAGTCCAAGAGGCACATTCAGAGGTGGAAAGACAAGGCTTGGTGACAGAGTGAATGTAAGCCATTAAGGCAGGGAGGAGTTTGAAATGACCATTGGAGTTTTAGGGACCCTAGAAGAATGACTCTTCCACTGATGTGCGTGCTGTTTCTGTCTGATGAGTTCTATTTCAACCTGATGTGATGCGATGTCTGGGAAGCATTTAGGTGAAGATCTATGTAGACCATTGGCAACATGGGCTTGAGCCTGCCCAAAGGTCTAGCAGGAAGTATAAAGATGTGAGAGTGTCAACAGCATGAGGGAAGAGGAGAGAAGGAAGCTGGAAACCTGAGTTCAGACCTTTGAGGAGCAGCAACATTAGACATGAGGAAGGAGGTGAAGCAAGGAAGGAATAGAGAAGAAACAGAGAGGTGGATGGTGAATGGAGATTGAATAATAAAGAGAAACCAAAGGAAGAGAAAGGTTTAAGGTGAGTATTCATTATGACAGATGCTCTAGAGTTTAAGAAGGTTAAGAACAGACCTTTCAATTTGGCACAGAGGGTATCAGATGAAAACTAGATTTTTTTAAGGTGAAAATCCATAATACTTTCTGATGTGTGTGATATGAGGAATAAATGAGACCTCGACACATCTGACTGACAATTAATGAGCAAAAATATATTTCTGAGAGGCTGGTTCCCAAGAGAATACTCTTCAATTGAAGAGCTGGGAAATGGAGGGTGACGAGGGATGAGGGGCAAGTGTTAAAATGGGAAACAGATTAAGGTGCATGAGTAAAGAAGAAACTTACCAGGAAATCCTAACATATACACACTACTTTAATGATCTTACTTACCAAATACGGTTGCATTCATTTTTTTTAAAAGGCACATTCTTTCCATTCTTGCCTCTTGTCTATGGTGTCATCTGAAATAAACATGAGGTGTCATGTAGGGTGGAACCAGATATCTGAAGCTCTATTTTTATGCTACCTTGAAATATGGCTTCAGAGAAGAAACAGCCCCTTAAAACATTATGCCTAATTTCCTCCTTAATGACCTGGGGTGTTGGTGGGGCAAGATCTACTTTAAATGTAAAACAAAGTGCCAGGATGTACATTAGTTTAGAGGATGCTAGTGCAGGCTGAGCTAGCATCCTCAACTCTGTCCTAATTACAGTGCTCCACCTCTGGATAGATATCCATCGGGACATAAAATACTGTAATTTAAGGGTTTTAAATAGCTTGAATACTCCCAATGTTTTCTGTTTTTCATCTACATTATATATACTTGATGGCTTTAGATATTAAACCCTTGAGTTTTTTTCTGTGAACAAAGTTATGTGCTTGGGAATAATGAAGCAGGCAATCATCAGCTAGACTCCTCAATTGCTCCCACTTTATAAAGTTATTTGAAAGGAAAACAAAGGAGAGGAAAGGAAAAAGAATGGCTAGCAATGGTGTGAGAACTTCTTTTAAAAATCTGAACTGATACGGAGGCTACCAGTGTTCACGGACTTCCTATTATTGGGGTTTTGTCTTCAGTATCACTCTAAAAGCAATCACTGTTGACAATGTCTTAAGTTTCTTTGCATGAATTTTCTAAGCATATACAATTTTACATCTACATATACATGCACACTAATTTTTACACAAATAGTCATACTATGCACACTGTTGTTCATCTTGTTTTTTTTTTAATTCACTTAAAATACTTGGACCACGTCATGTCAGCATGATTCAATCAGCTTCATTCTTTTTAAAAACTGCATGGCATTTCATATATATGTACCATAATTTATTGATGAGCATTTAAATAATTTCTAATTTATGTCTGGTTGTTGTTGAAGTTCTATTGTTCTAATTACAAACAGAGAATATATTTAGAAGTGAAATTACTGAGTCAAGGTGTGTGTGTTTTAAATTTTGATGAGATATTTCCAAGTTATCTTGCACAAAGTTACACTTCCACCAATACAATCTGAGTGTGTTTCCACATCCACATCTGCCAGTCTGAACTGTCTGCCATGCTATAGAAGTTGACAATTGTTACTTCTTTTTAATATGCCTTTGTTGGATTAATGTGTATTGAGCATTTTTTCATAAGACTAATAGCCATTTGTGTATGTGTATGTATTTCCTACATCATGTCTTTTGGTTATCTGTCCCTTGCCTTACCCATTCTTATGAGAGGAAAAGAAACTCTTTACTAGGATAAGCTACTGTTTAATAGATAACACACCAACAGTTCACAGGAAACCATAAGTGTATCTATTCTACAAACAAACATTTGTACAAACACTGACTCACTTGGCTGCCTGAAAGAAAGTGTGCCTACACGGCCTGAGGAGAGAAAGAAAGCAGTCTGTCTAGAGGTAAATGTGGGAACTGGCCTCACACTTTCTGTCAGTTTTCTATTGCTGCATAAAAAATTACCACAAACTTAGCAGCTCCGCTCACAATTGCCCTGGGACAGGAGGCTGGGCATAACGTGACTGGCTTTTTGCTCAAGTCCCACCGATTAAATCAAGGTGTTGGCCAATTGCTCTTTGCAGATCTCCCCTTCTAAGTTCGTGTGGTTGTAGCCTAATTCAGTTCCTTGCAGTTGTAGGACTAAAGTTCCTGTTTGCTTGCTGGCTGTCAGCTGGGGGCGACTCTCAGCTCCTAGGAGCTATCTGTGTTCCTTGCTACATGCCCCACCTCCTCCATCTCCAAACCCAGCAAAGTAGAATCTCCCTTGTGTTCAATCCTCATGCTTCCAATCTCTCTGACTTTTAGACCCAGATCTAAAGAGTCCATGTGGTTAGGATGTGCCCAACCTGGTAATCTACCTATCTTAAGGTCAGTTGATTTGAAACAAAACAGACTGGCAAAATCCCTTCATAGCAGCACTTAAATCAGTGTTTGGTTGACTAACTGGGAGGAAGTGTGTGTATACTAGGGGCCAGAAATCTTGGGGATCATCTTAGAATTCTGTGTGCCACACCCCACACCTTCTTTCCTCAAGCAAAGCAGAGCCCATGTCTTCTGGCTTAGAAAAATCAATCCAAAAATGGAAACATGGAATGCCACAGGAATGAGGCTGGACAGACATCCATCCAACCCCGTGCACAACGAAATGCATCCATGTAGGTCAGAGACCTTGATATGAACAATGAAACAGCAGAAGGCTGGAGAGAAAGTCTAGGAAACCATATGGACGATGTAGGGGTCAGGCAGACCTTCCTGACCAAGGATCCAAACCTGGTATTTCTGACTTCAACATTTGCCCTCTTGACCCCCATGCTATGGCCCACTGGAGAATAAGTCATTCTCTGGCTGCACAGATGGATCTTGAGCCCTTTAACTTTGCCATTTCTTCTCATGCCAGTGTGATTAGAGTGTGCTTTTGTGAGATACTGGCCTTGGGTGTTCAACAGAACAGAATAAACTGACCACAACTTAAGTAGGTGAGCCACTAAGGGAAACTATATTGATGACCATTATTCTAAAACAATTCTAAATCACTGCTTCCCCCTCCTCCACTGTCTCTCTCTCTCTCTTTCATCTTCCTACCTACTGCTGATTCAGGCGCATTGTATGTGACTTGCTTGAGACCGAAGAGACTTACATAAAGGAGATTAAGAACATAATTGATGTAAGTAGATTTGGGGCAGAAGGCATGGTAAGTATTCAAACTACAGAAGTTTTGTTGCAGGAAGAATCTCAAAATAGTTGCCATATGTCTGGCATGCCATAGTATGCCATATAGAATCCCTACCAAAGTTTCACATTTTATAATATCACAAGTGTTCTTTTAGCAGGAATAAGAACATACTTAATGTCTGTTGATCCATGTAACCAAATAACTTCAAAAAGATTGTACTAATGATCAACTAGGGTCACCATATGCTTGCCAATAATGGATATAATCATTTAAATGCCTTTGGTAATTTAATAAGGGAGAGTTGTTTCTCATTAAGTAGCATTTTTTGCTTAAGAGTGAAAATTTGTATTTTCCCTGCTTTCCTAAGGTAATAATCTTGAGGAATAAATTATATGTATAAAGTTATAACAAATTTTTTACAATAAAATATCAGAAGAAAACTAAATGTCCAATAAAAAAGGGAATGATTGATAAAGTCATTATTCAACTATTACAAAATAATTATTTTTAATAACAGGCAGCAACATTAAAATAAGTGCTTATAAGATTAAATTAAAAACAATACATGTAGAAATTTACAAGCAGAGTCTAAAATGTATATGGGAAGTGGATATAGCTCAGTGGTAGAGCAAATGCTTAGCATGCATGAGGTCCTGGGTTCAATACCTAGTACCTCCATTAAAAAATTTTATAAAATAAAATAAAATGGAAAAAACAGACTAAAAATTATATATGTACTGTGATTATAACCATATAAAATAAGCTTTTAAAAAGTCATGAAGGAAATTAAGATAGTAGTAATTACATCAGGTCACAAAATGATGAGTAAGATTCTTCCTTCCATACTTGACTTATACAACATATTTTTAAAAATATATTTGTTTTTCCTATAAAAATTCCACTGTGTTATCATTGCCATAAAGCCATCTTCTTCTGAAGATGGCCACATGAGGAAAATAATATCCAAAAAAAGTATTTTGGGGAATGGCTTTCAGGGAACATGTATGCCATATTCCCCAATTATTAAAGTTTTGGTCCCTGGAGTGGCTAATTCAGATCATCTCTTATATGTTCCTATTTGTAAAACCTACCTTGTTTCCATCTCTGCAGGGATATATCATTCCAATGGATTTTATTTGGCTGAAGCATCTAATTCCAGATGTTCTTCAGAATAACAAGGACTTTCTCTTTGGGAATATTAGAGAACTTTACGAATTCCACAACAGGTATATAATCATTCAATTTACCAGGGAAAATGGAAAATAAGAGAAGGATGGGAATCAGACTGATGGAATTTAGAGTTGAAAGTGCTTAGGTATTTTCAGGCTTAAGCAAGTAGTCCAGAGTCAGTGGACAGTACCCGGGAGAGATGGGATGAGGAGGAGGGGAGAAGCGCCACAGGATCCCCAAGGAAGAAGGGAAGAGACATTAATGGAGCATGTACTAGTGCCAGGCATTGACGCTGTAGTCATTCGTCAGTTCCTTTGCTTATTTATCTCCTCACATGTCAGCGTTTATTGAGCCCCTGTTCTGTGTCAGGCTCTGTGTTCAGCATTGGCAATACAAAGATGATGAAGACACATGACCACATACCTATTACCGTAGGGGAGTGCTGGGACCCAGGGTGTTAGAAGATGCTCACCAGGCAGTCACTTGTCCTGTTAGCCTGGTGTTGCTTGGGTATTGGGTTCCAGAGAATGAGAGAAGGAAAGGAATTTGGAAATCATCTTCCAGCCCTTTTATTTTACAGATAACAAAACCACAGCTTGTTTACTCACTTTACCCACTAAAAATGGCCCCAGGATCACAAGTTGAATTGATAGGAGGGAAGAGACTGCTTGGTGAATTGAACCACAGTTGTTTCCTTACCACATCTCTTATCTGTTGTTCAGAAACGATACTGAATGGAAATCCTGTTTCTTCTACTTTCCCTGGAGAAATTATTCCGCCCCTTTGAGCCTCAGGCTTCGCATTTATGAAACCCTATCTTGCAAGCTTTGGTGGAGGATTAAATGAGATATTGTTCTCGAAGCACTTAGCTTATGCCTGACTTACAGTAAGCTCTCAATGGTCGTAGTAGTAGCAGCCCCAACAGCAGTTCTTGTTAATGTCACTGCCATGTAGCAGGGATCAGCAGTGCACCCAGTCTGTCTGTGGCTAGGGCTTAGAATTATCAGAACAGGTGTGGGTGGTTTCAGGGAATCCTGGTAATGTCACAGAATACCTTTTTTCCTTCCAAATCAGTGTGTTGAAGATGAGTCAGAAGCAATAAAGCCTGGAAAACCAGCATTTTTCTATGTACCTCTTAAAACTTAATGTGATTTTACTTGAAAAATTGTGTTAACCCTGTATGTGTAAAAATCAAAGCATTATTAAACTTTTCTTTTCCTAGGACTTTTCTAAAAGAATTGGAAAAGTGTAGCGAAAATCCTGAACTTCTGGCACGTTGCTTTCTAAAGAGAGTAAGTCTGTGCTCCCAGTAAATCAAAATAACCATGCAATTAAAGTCAGCCCTTAATTTTCTGTATAAGTGGAAAGGGCAAATAGAAACACTAGTGGTCTAGAACTTTAAATGCAAAGTGGGAGTCCTTTGCAGAACTTCAGCCTATGTGAGTTGAGTCCACTTTGACTGAGCTCACTCTGCTAGGCACGTATGACTGCAAGCCTGACTTCCTGCAAAGCCCCTGAAATGGAAGACTGGCCCCAGACCCTCATAGTAGATGGTCCTCCTCTGAGTGACTAAGCTAACTGTTTTACACAGCAGGCTTAAATTCTTCACTGAAGTTGTATTAACACTCTCAAGAGAAAGTGCTGGTATTAAACTGAAACTCTCAGAAAATGTATTTTCTTCCATTTTATTTTCTACAGCATCGAGGATAGTTCGAAAAATCTACAGCTTCTTTTATGCTAGCACCCAATTTGTGAACTTCCTGTCCTCCAGCACCATACCTCTGACCACTTACTTCCCTTCCCACCACACAGAACTCTTCTCTCTTGCCGGTTCTCCGCCTGGCTTTGGCGCTCCCTGGGAGCTGGCACAGAGAAGTGCTGCCACCGACATCATTCCCCATCAAGTGCTTCCTTCCCTTTGCGAGGACTGTACAGATGATCCCCGTGTGCTCTGCTCTCTAAATCTCTCCCATTTCTTCTCTCTATCCCAATCAGCCCTTCTTTGCATTTCTTGCTTGTTTTCGTTTCGTGAACTGGAGACAACAGATCAAAAAACTTAAATATTTTTCAACAGTTCAAATCATGGCTGATAAGTCTGAGAGCAGTATTTGTGATAACCTAAAAGTGAGCAAACAAAAGCCTCCAAGTTTCGAGGTATTCAACATGATGGAGAAACAGAGTCTTCAACCCTCAGGGCCCTTGACCTGCTTGGAAGGCCCCTGCCATAGCACTGTCCAGGCTTTTCATCACAGCCTCACCATAGGTTTTCCATCCAGCGCCAGAATTCAAGATACATAAAAAAACCATTTTGTATTCAATCTGATTAGTTTCCTTTTGAATTACCTTTATAGCATTATTAGTGTTTTATACTATTTTGCACTTTTGTGCTCATCAAACCACTATTGTGAAATCTAGTTGCAGAGTTTAGAAATATTTCACAACTGCTTATGTCATTATTGCAAAGACTTATAAAAATTGTTGGATGAGAAAAAGACCAGATTCCTATGGGAAAAAATGGATATCGTCACATTAAAAACTGTCCAAGTATGAGAAAATTGTTAGAGAATTACTAACTAAACATTTTCTTAGAAGAATTCCTCTCCTAAATTTTTACAAAGCTTTTTGTAGTCCCTCATGTTGGGAGAAAACTTAGAAAGCATTAATCTAGGCCACAAACTCTGCATATAATCCTATATGATTTATGATATTGGAGGCAAAATACAGATAATAAATTTTATCATGCACAAAGCTATTCCTCTGGGACAAATGGGGTAATTAAAAAACCACAATTACTTAATCTTTGAGAATCCTTGAGGGAACTGGCCACTGTTGTGCAAAGACCTGTATCTGTTAGCCAATAAGGCAGGCCCATAACCCACTATTTACTATGGCAGTTTATTTCTTCTCAGTAATATTTGCAGATTTCCACTTATCTTGGAAATGAATTTTGAAATATTGTTCTGGCTGAATGTTTTAATCAGACTTAATAGCCCTTAGTATCCAGGAAGATTCTGTCCCAGAGACCAAGCTCTATGTAGAATAATGTTTGTCAGTAGTTAACTTTGAGTTCCATTTGCTCTAAGATCTCACATAGTACAATGGAAAAAGCACTGGAGTGAGACTCAGAAAACTTATCTGAGTTGAGCTGCTTGCTATCAGCATGATCTCAAGTAAGTCACTCAAACCCCTGGAGTCTCACTCTCCTACTCCATATAACAAGCTTCGTAATATTGGTATGTCAAGTTATGTGGAAACCAAGTAAAATAATGCATGCGGAAGGGCTCTACAAGGTAAAAAGTGCTTTGACAATAGCTACCACTTGTCGGGTACTCTGCCTGTATCAGGTACTCCGCATTTGTTGAGAGGTTTCTGTATATCGTCTCATGTAATCTCACAACAATCAAAGGAGTTCACTGCTGTTGTGAGCCCACTTAACAAGTGAGAAACTGAAGTGTAGGAAGGTTAAGTAACTGACCTCAGACCAGATAGCTTGTAATTAACAAAGCCAAGAACTGAACCTGGGCCATCCACCACCAGAGCCTACAGGCTTCCTAATCCATAAGCAATCGTGTCTCCCTGTGTGAATATGAGTTTTGGGGTAGCAATTTTTTAGCCTCTTGATATATTCTATAAAGAGGTAAGGGGAATTGGGCACTTTCATATTCTGCTAGTTAGTGCACATGCTCTCTCTAAGGAATTTTGGACTGAAGAACAAATTTAGGTCAATAGTTATGTTTCAGTACTTGAAGGCCTATGACGTTCTATGTTGCTCAAAGTGCAGACACAGGACCAAGGGGTGAAGTTTTCAGGAACACAGGTAACAGCTCAGCATCCTCCAAGAACCAGGTCCCTTTCTGTTACTGGGAGAGTTTGGGGATGTCTCCCTGGGTGGAAGGCTGGATCTCCAAAGTCTCCTCCAGCTTCTGAGAATCTTCTGGTGGTGAGTGTTGAAAGCAGTGAAACCTTGAATCCTTTTTGGAGCTAAAGGTCAATGTCTTTGTGCTCAGACAGACAAAGGGTAGATGAGATGCCTTAACCAATTTGTAGTGTTTTATAAGTCTGGACTTCAGGATGGCAGGAGTGTTACCCATGTCTAGGCCTCTATGCTCTGGGAGCCATTGAATTTAACAAATGTCCTCAACACAGTGGCTGGCACATCAAAGGCACTCAACAGATAGCTCTAGAGTGAATGAATAATGAAGGCATTATTGCTAAGCTCTGAATTATTATTCCAGTTTCTTAACCAGTCTGAACAACACTTCTCAAGGGCCAGCTGCCTCTATAAATGTATGTGTGTGTGTGTGTGTAATTTTTTCTGGAGAGAATAGCAAAGGACAGAGTTGCTGTAGTTCTTATAGTAAAGTGAAATGATCACTTACAATCCATCAGGAGAAGGGAAGAGCTACAGAAACAGAAATAATTCACCACAGTAATATATTTAGAAGAAAAATAGGAATAGTTGAAGCTGTAAGGGAGAAAATAACCCAATTCCACATGAAAGACATCAAGAGTGGCCTGAGGAGGAGGATAGGGACACAGAAATTCATGAGGAGGGGGCCACGTGGTCATCTCCACCATAGCAGCCCAGGCTCTGTGGCAGGCACACCCACGTGGACCAGGTTCTCCTGATGGAGTGGATGAAACATGGCAAACTGACTCCGTAGGCTTGGGGTGCCCTTTCTGTCTGGGATATTGGCAGACATGTGCCCACCTCTCACGGTCTTTGATATAGTGAGAATATGGGTCACACAGCACGTGGAGCCCTGCTTGACCTCTAGCACTGAGATCATCGTGTAGATTTCCTGCCTCAGGGTCTTTTGCTGCAGGGTTGCCTGAACCACTTAGGTTTGTGTCCAAACTGCCACATTTTCCCTCTGGGTGTTTCTACCTTTTGGTCATTTCTTAGGTTTTTGTTTTTGTGTTTTTTAGGGTTGGCATCATAATAATTGTAATATGGAGTGAGTGGGGAGAGAGAAAGAAGGAGCCATCAGCTACCAGCATTTTTATTGCCTGTTTTATTATTCAGTGCAGAGCTATTTGGGGGAGATATTGGTGTCCCAAATAAAGAGCCAAGGAGAAAGGATAAAGATAAAAATTGACTCCTGTTCATGAATTTACTTATTTACCAGTGTCCTATAGCTGCTCTCACAGTACTCTGTTCAGATCTGTGTAGTTTGTAACCCTCTGTTTACCTCCTCATCACACACTCACCCCAACATAAGATTATTTATTGTGTATCCCCAGTTCCTTACATGTTGAAGATACTCAGGCCCACTGAATGAATGAATGAACTATATTGTCCTGTCCACTGACTGAAAAAATGCTACCTGATTAATTTGTTCTAACTTTTTCTCACCCAGAAAGAAGATCTTCAAATATATTTTAAATACCATAAGAATCTGCCCCGAGCCAGGGCAATCTGGCAAGAATGTCAAGACTGCACCTACTTTGGGGTAATGTTGAGGTTCTAAGGTCTCCCACAAATTGCTTTCCCTGGACAATGTGTGAATCCAATATTTAAAGAAATCAAAAGTATGAATTAGGCAGAGGAATCTGACATTGAGATTTAAGCTTATTAAAAGTCTCTCCTATGTTGACATTACACATTGGGAGTTTCAATGCTGCCCCGAGTCTCTGTGGGACAGCCCTGTGAGGAGCAGCTGTAGGCTAGTGAGAAAACCAGGATCCTCTTCTAGGATGGATTTTGCAAGTGGAACTAAGTCCAAAGGGTCACACTTTGGGGCTCCCTGGAATGATATCAATAAGCCATCATGTACCCTTGAATAGACTCCACCATCCTTAAGACCCAATTTGAAGACAGGCTGCCTTGTTTTCAGAAGGGTTTGAAATGCCCCTCCTAGGGGATTTGCTTTCTAAAAGAAATAAATGGTCTGACATCCCTAATTGCCTATAAAAATATTAGCCAAGCACAACCCCTTTCCCCTTTCTCTCATTTTACACACTGTTCCTGAGGGACTGAACAGCCAATCATATTACAGAACTGGTTGACACAGCTGCTCCTCCTGTCCACAAAAAGCCCATTTCACCACTTGTGTTTAAACGCTGCCACTTTTGTTCTGTGTGTGTGTTAAGTTGTTTCTGTTTGCCTTTTCAAGGTATGCCAGCGTCAACTGGGTCACACTCTCCCTCTTTTTAAGTACCTGAGAGGACCAAGCCAGAGACTTATAAAGTACCAAATGCTGCTGAAGGTAAGTTGATGAGACGTGCTTCCCATGCCTGCTCTTTTCCTTAGACATGTAGAATTATGGCTTTGCCTTGCAAAGGTGAAGATATGTCTATCTTTCAGGCTTTTCCTGTCCCCAGGTCTAAATCAGCCTCCTCAGTGAGGAGTAAGAACAAAGAATCATAGGGACCTGGGAACCTGGCTAGTCTAACTTGCAGCAAGGGCATGAATCTCTAACAGGAGGCGGGCTTAGGGGAGCAGAGGTCCTTGGGAGCTGAGTGGGGACCAGGGAAGCCACCACACTGCAGGCAACTGCGAGGGTGGCAGCCAGGCCTCTACTCTCAGTGAGGCCTCGACAGGTAAGAGATTATCTGCTCCATTCTACCCAGGAAAGAGCTATGATTGCCCCCCACAGCCACTATTGTACGTGCATGTTGACAGTGGAAGGGAGAGGGCAAAACCAGGTTCTTCTCCACTTTTGCGTTATGTACCTTCACTCTCAAACTGAGGATCTTTCTCAATAGCAACATAGCAGAATGAATTTTGCTCTGCTGAACCCCTAGGTGGTTCTTTCTTGCTCTGACACCATCACACCTGCCAGAGAGCAGTCCCAGCCTACACACACACACACACACACACACACACACACACACGACAGGAGGCTTTGTCAAGGCTGTGTCCCCACCTCATGTGTGAGCAGAGGGAAAGTTCTGGGCGGTTTCTCCATGGTTTGTTTTGAATTAAGTTTTACAAGCAGCTCTTGCCCACTGGCTACTATCTCTTAATTAAAAAAAAAAAAAAAGAGCCCCTGCTGTTTACTGGGTACCTTCCGCCGTGTCTTT